GCAGCAGAGCTTTTGATGTGCAGCACTGTGGAAAATAAATAGAAATAATCTTTAGAATGTTAGACCGACCTTTTAAATACTGCTTTCTTTCTTCACCATATCTTTCCATGAAAGATTTGGCTTAATTTCTTTCCCTTGTATGCCATCCACTTCCAGATCCCACTCTCATTCACTGGTTCATCATCTTCCCTTCTCAACACATGACCCATCCATCTCTATCCACTTCTCTTTACCATTTCCACCATAGTTTCTTCCAGACCCAACCTTTCCATGAGCTCTCAGCTAAATTGTTCACACCCTTACCAAGTTTTGTAATTTGTTTTAAAAATGTGGAAAATTGGTCCCAATAAAGTGTATACAGTTGTTTGTTTCTAATAATAATAATAATAATAGCTACCGTAGTTCTTTAGCGCTTTTCAAGACCGTCAAGAATGTGACATCAAAGCTTTCATCTAAATTATTTAAAAGAGGAGAAAAGGGGCCATAACTTGACTAGTCCACCTTTTATTCCAGAGTTACAAAAAACGCACACTATAACATCACATTTACAAAAGTTAATTTAGTTGTTCACTATAAAACATGACTACAAGTACCAGTACTGTACAAAAAAAAAGTCCATACAAATACAATGCAAACCACACAATGCACTGTGTGGTTTCCTGATCTACAGTAATCACCTCCGTTTCTAAGACATTTGAATCTTATCAAGGGGTTTTGTTTTGTTTTGTTTCCTTGGATAAATGGCTCTGAATCTCAGCTGGACAAAGGACATCCCTGGATAAGAGCAATGGAAAGTGAATGCTGTCACATTAGTTTTGTATACATGTACATTCTGTATACATTCACGTACATGCCAACTGTTCAGATTAAAGAGGAACATTCCTCTTTTTGGGAGAAGATAATTATCATTTTAATGCAGGTGTTCCTCTTCCTGTACAAATTTGTCTGTAGTATTGAATAGGAGAGTTAGGATTGTTCCTCTTTTTTTTGAAAATAGCATAATTTGTACAGATTTCTGATTTTCAAATGTAAGCATACATGTATGCATTCATTGTATTGAGTATCTTTAATGCTGTACATACATTTATGCTATAACATTTAAAGGCCCACTGCACTATTTGTAGCTACTTGCGCCCTCTATATACATGTAACAAACAATGCCTAATCGGTGACCATTGGTCCCCCATGATCCTCTTTTTCTTATGTTAACTGAGAGCTGAGTTCATGAGATAACCACCTGTCTAGTGACCTTGCAGGGCAGTCTAATCCCTCCTGTAAACTAGATGGCAGATAAGCTTTAATTATTGTGTTCTTTTGTTTGTTTGCTTGTTTTTTGTTTACTGGTGGTCATTTATCAATGTGAGTAATGGACATTTATTTTTTTATACACATGCATATCCATGAGGTTAAAATTCAAAATAAGTTACACATAATTTCATTTTTCAGTAACCCACAAAAGATGAAAAAAATTCCAATTTCACTTTGACTACCGGTACTCTTTAATGTTGATGTTTTTGCAGATTGTTCTTGATGGGTTGTTCATTTTGGGGAGTATTTAAACCAAATGTGGCAGTCTAAATACTAAAGATCACAAGATACATGTACTTTTTTAGCTAGAGAGAGGAAGAGAGAGAGAGAGAGAAGAAAAAAGAAGGAAGGCAAGTAAATTGAAAGCAGTTTGGGACCAGAAACTTGAAATCAATTTGCCTCTACATGCACCCCCTTTGTGCAGATGTTTTGCAATATCCAAACAGGGACTGTCTATCAAGTCCCTGATCCAAATGACACAAGAAAGTTTGACCAAAATGTACAACCCCAAAATGGACAATTATTCCAGAGTGAATTTAATCTGTCAAATGAAAAAAAGCAGAGGAACTGATTCTCTTGAATGCTGAGCAAAACTTCAAATGAAATGAGCAGATTGAGCTTCCGAGCAAATCAACGATAGACCAGGTCTGGCTCTAAAATATTGCTGGACACGTTCACTTGCGAAAATTGATTGATCAAGAGTCTTGCCTGAAAACAGTCGTGTCTATTAAACATTGAATATTGGGAAGGAGAAGGGCCGGAGGGGGCAGCTTTTTCAGTGATATGAAAGCAATTGCATTGTTGATCAAAAAGACGCGCAACGGCTTTAAGTGGTAGAGCAGTGGTCTCGTAACTCTGAGGTCCAGGGTTCAAAACCAAGTTGATGCGCTATTGCCTTTTGGTATTTAAGGCTTTAATCTTTATTAGAGAGGACTTTAATAATGTCCTCAGGACCTCGGATCTCCTGGCTGCTGTACAGACAAACCATCAAAATTATTGTTTTTGTTTTCAGGAGATATCACAAGTTCAGAATGTTTTTTAATCTCTAGATTACTTTGTATGTTGAGTGCAATGGAATGTGTGTCTTGCTGGTTGAGTGGATGATATGGTAGGGCCACCCAGTAGTCTGTCAAGTTTAATTGATCTAGGAATGCATGCAACTACGTATAGAGTACTGAAGCTGTGACGTCATAAAAATCTATTCTTAGAATTTCTCAATTTTTTCTTCATTTTCTGAAAGAACATCACAAATAATGTCCAATTGTCGAAGTATTGGCTGAGATATGACCATCTGAATAAATATTTACCCCATAGGAACTTAGGAGCCAGAGCATATACACTGAGTTCCCATAGGACATATATTTACATGTATATCTCGGTCGTCAGGAGCGTAAAGTATAAAGAAGTATAACGAAACATCAAATTAGCAAGACAACTATTTGAGCACCGTTTTGAATGAAAATCTGAAGAATTAGCATCTTACCAAACTGTTCATTTTGTTATTGTGGATAGGTACTGTCAGTTCATGTACCGTGCATGTTCAGTTTACACGTCTAATCTAGTACATGTACACATTGTATAGATCTGTACAAGCCAGGTAACCAAGAGTTTTAATATTTTGGTAAATATTGCCTGGCCCTTGAATCCCTCAAATACACCCTACAGTACATGTACACGTATGTACATGTAGCTCTCCCAAGTGAAGTTTGTGTGGAGTCCTGCCCTTGATGACATTTTATAAGTGGGAGAGTGAGAGCCCCTTGGGAGGCATACAGTGTGAGGATGTTCATTGTTTAATGTCTCTGTGAACCCAAGCTGCAAATGATGCACTATTTATATCTCTCTCCTTAGTACATGTACATGTACATGTAGCTAGCTGATCGTAGAGGATGAACCTGCTCCATTTTAATGCACTTTATGTATGCTTGATCAGGTGTTTTGTGTATAAGTACTATAAGGTTGCATTATAATGGCAGATCAAACACTTTGCATACCTACATGTATGTACAGTAGTCCATACCGTATGCAGATGTGTACAATTTTTACAATCATAAAGTTATCTCTGCATATAAAATCAAAGTCATACAAGTCAAATTCTCCAAAAGTCATAAAGATGTTTTGGACCACACTATGCAAAACATAAATATTGACACTTCTTTTTAATAAAGTTGAATTTGGCATCTATAAAGTGGAACTATTGTTTGTGGTCCCAACTGATTGAATTTATTGCTTATGCAGAGTTAACCATATTATTGATCATTGGGATTGGGCTATGATATGGTGGCATAATCAATACCTTTGTAAACATGTGCTGCAAATATGTTTTTGGACTATTTTTAACTCAGACTACATGTATATTTTCCTTCTATCTTTTGTTCCAGACTCTACACAGATGTAAGCCTAATAATATGCTTGTTGTCCATTTCCCATTTTGCCCGAAACAAAATTGAAGAAAAATTGTACAAAAGAAAGCATACAGAGTACAATGTACATGCTTGTAGTAAGCAAACGGGGGACCGAAGGCTTTAAGTCCTCTCTGAGGGACTTGGTAATAAGGATTTAATAATGCCTAACCAAAGGGCACTATTAAACGTATTGACCACTTGGTTTCGAACCTGGGACCTCGCGGTTACAAGACCACTGCTCTACCATTGAGCCATCGCGTGCATTATATGAGATACAATCTACAATCCTTGTATGCCGATCATGTGACCAGCAGTGAGCTAGTAAACATTGATTTGTTGACTGACTGACTGACTGACATCACACCCGGCGCTGATTGCAAATGGCTAAAAGAAAAGCACTAATAGCAGCAATCGCTCCCAGGCGATGCTGTGCTCTCTGAGTGTTGGCTGAGATAGAAGCGTTACCAGTGTATCATCAATACAGATACCGGTACATGCTACATGTACGTGGTGCTACAGTAGACTGGGGGGACACTGGTGTAGATTCAGTCCACTTTTATATATTTTTCTAGTATTCAATCATTACACGCACACTGTACATGTACATGTACATGTATGTAATCCTCCTCCCAATAGTACGCATCCCCCACAGATAGAATGCAAGGGTAAGAATATGACAAGGAAAGGCAAGGACTGTCTTGTTTTGTTTTCATTGAACCATTCATAATGATACTGTATAGCTGGCGCTTGTAATGCACATACAGTTGGAGTCCTATTGTGTAATATTATATTATACTGGGTGATGTATCATTTTATGATGTGTACCATGTATAGTATGAATCACTCTGTAGACTGTTGTAAAAGACATACTATCCTGTGTTTAAGGTTTGCTTTGTGTACTGTAAGGCATTGGATCTTCACTCTATCCAAACCTTGTTTGTCTGCCATTCCAAAGTCTAATAACACCCAAGATTATCTTTCATAATACAATAACAATACAATAACACATACGGTACATGTTACAGCATATGGTCGGTACTTGTACAATATTGTGTCAATAAAACTCAATATGGTACATGTACATGTACATGTACAGTATATATATAAGACAAACCTTTTGTGGAGGGAAGACATTGATCAGGCCATTCTTAAATACATGTATATATTTGATTGCTTTTGTATTCTAGTGTTTGTCATTAGAAGAGAAAGATAAGTACCTGTATGCTTAATATCTTTGTCATTTATTGATCACTTTTAAATCACTTTCTTCATTTTCGTATTTTGCAGGAGTTACATGTATCAGGAAGACCACACCTCTGGAAACAAAAGACCACATTCCATCGAAGCATTCCTTTTCTCATCGTCATCATTCTGCATCTATCTATCAACTCCTCCTGCTCATAACATCTCAAAGAAGACGTTCGATCCAGTCAACTACGACATAAAACCTAGAAGGATTCACTTCTTGCCAAGCCAGCTACCAGATGAACTGATGTCATGAGATGATAGGATCACCCATTCCTTCACTCCGTGTGAAATCTTCTTTTATCCGCTCATCTTCCGACCTGCCCCCTTCTTTCTCCTTAAGCCGCCGTTCTTCAAATACCAATTCATCGGCAAACATCTTCAGGGTTGCTTGAGGGAGAGAGAAAGGGAGAGAGATATTGGATGCTCCTACATCGCTGTAATTAATGTACATGTACATCAAGTGAGTAGATGGGATCAGCTGAGTAGGTGTCTAGCGAGGGGGCTGTTTAACCCTGTCAGTGCCGTAGCGGGAAATACGACGTGGAAAGCAGATGGTGTATTTGGTTTGTGGATGTCAAAGGGTTACCCTCGAGCTTGGAGGGGAATTGAGAATTCATGAAAGAGGATGCTCGCTCGTTTGATCGTTTCCGTTGGATGGTGAATATTTATAGCGGTGAATGCTGAATATTCATGACATGAATAATGAATATTCATAGTGATTGATGATGATGAATATTTCTTTTTGATGAATATTCATGAGATGATCAACAAGACGGATGCCCATCCATTTTGAAGTGTTTCTCGAGTGTTGGAAAGGCTGCATTGAAGTGACCTTTATTTGCTCGTTTACCCAGAATTTTTTTTTTTCCTTTTCCCCTCTCTCTCCATGAGGGGAAATCAAAGTGTATTGTACACACATTAAGGAATCACTACACATGTGGATTTAATATGACAGCACATATTTTACTTTATAGAGATCTGTTGTTTGATTCCTTCATGCTCTCCCTGTTTTCTTCATCTTTGGAGCTTTTTATAGCCAAAATGGAGAGATTCAAATCTCATTCCTGCTAATTTGGAAACTAGAAATTCAAAACATAGAAACTATAAACTATCACATAAACTATCATAGCTATCCGAGAACGGTAAAGCCCAACCAGACAATATGACGGAGTCGTCGACCCCCGCCCCGGCCCCGCGCAACCCCATCATCCTATGCAGGACATGCGGACAGCGCCACCAGCTCCACGACAACCACGTCTACGACTACTGCGACATCGTGGACGAGGAGTTGACCTGTAATATATGCCTTCAGCCCCTTGTTAACCCTATGGATACAATGTGTGGACATACGTTCTGTATGCGCTGTCTTAGGAGCGTACTGAACTTGCATAAATTCTGTCCGATCGATAGAAGACCTTTGACGCAGCAGGATTGTAGGGCGTCAAGTCTTATCGTCAGAAGGTGAGTGGTCCACAAAAGTTCTTTTGGACAGGGTGTCAATGCAATACCAGAATTCATACAAATTGATTGAACCATTATCACAGTACCGGTAATTTGTTTTTTTATGCCTCCGCCACCGAAGGTGGTGCCGCAGGCATCATGTTTTCGGGTTGTCCGTCCGTACGTCGTACCGTCTGTACGTCCGTCCCGTTTGACCGTTATCACAATATCTCAAGAACCATTTAAGATTTAAACTTAAGACTCGGAAATAGTATTTATCACCATAGGAAGACGATCTGATTAGATTTTGGAGTACGTAGGTCAAAGGTCACAGGTCACAGAGGTCAACTTATGAAATTCCTTGTATTGAGTTTGTTAGCGCGATATCTCAAGAACCATTTGAGATTTAAACTTCAAACTTAAGGATAGTATGTATCACCATAGGAAGACGATCTGATTAGATTCGGAGCACGTATGTCAAAGGTCAAGGGTCACAGAGGTCAACTTATGAAATTCCATACATTGAGATTGTTATCATGATATCTCAAGAACCACTGGAGATTTAAACTTCAAACTTAGTGATAGTGTGTATTACTATAGGAAAACAATCTGATTACATTTTGGAGCACGTAGATCAAAGGTCAAGGGTCATAGAGGTCAACTTATGAAATTCCATACATTGAGATTGTTATCATGATATCTCAAGAACCACTGGAGATGTAAAAACTTCAAACTTAAGGATGGTATGTACGTATCACCATAGGAAGACGATCTGATTAGATTTTGGAGCACGTAGGTCAAAGGTCAAGGGTCACAGAGGTCAACTTATGAAATTCCATACATTGAGATTGTTATCATAATATCTCAAGAACCACTGGAGATTTAAACTTCAAACTTAATGATAGTGTGTATCACCATAGGAAGACAATCTGATTAGATTTTGGAGCACGTAGGTCAAAGGTCAAGGGTCACAGAGGTCAACTTATGAAATTCCATACATTGAGATTGTTATCATGATATCTCAAGAACCACTGGAGATTTAAACTCCAAACTTGTTTAAATTGCTCTATGGCGGAGGCATCATTTTCAACTGCGCGCAGTCAAAATTCCATCTAGTTTTAAATTGGAATAATGTACAATGTAGTGTTGTATCAATCATCGTTCATTTATCTTATATTAATTAGGAGGATCAAAGTGAGCATTATATTTTTCTTCCTATTTCTCTGCTGTCTCATTCAATGTGTTCTGCTTTCCATAAAATAGTTTTAAAAGAGAAAGAAAACAAAAGAAAAAATTTCAATAAAACTTGGAGAGCTTGCATGCTGCACATGTACAGTGTACATGCAGATCTGTACTTCTCTGATGTGATGTGCCAGCAGTCACCCATATCATCTGTTCATGAAGACTACTTCGTAGACTTTGAGGATAGTATCATTGTAACGAACGCAAACAGAACCGGAGACATGCAAAGTCCAATGCAATCGGCGACAAGGGAAAAATAAACAATAAATCATCCATTATCAAACCATTTCTGACTCACAAGCAATAGAGTTCGATCAGAAGAAAAAAGGGAGACAGATTTACTTTTCAAACCAGAGCACAAAAACCATCGACCTTGCGGAGACAGTTCACACACAGGGCAATTCCATTCACTTTCAACTCAATGTCAATAGCTCTGCAATCATGCTTCATCCTTGCATTCTATACTGAATAATTGATTAATGGGTGTTGGGGGGTAGTGAAAGTACGTAATTAGCTTTAGTGCAAGGGTATTATACAGTATCCACATACAAATGAGATGAGTGTTTTTGCCCAACTGATGAGCTTTTATTGAGAATGAGAATGCAATGGTACTTGTATGGTATGCAAGCTGATTTGCATCAAGAAGTGTAATAGTACTGTATTGGAATGTAGTATGTACTCTACATTACATGTAGAGCTTTGTAAAGTGCTATCACTATCAGCCAAACAAAAACATTTTCTACGTTATCGATCCTTCTTTTTTTCTTGTTCATCTCAATTTTTGTCTCGCCTCGCCTGCGTAGCAAAAAGCGAGACATACATGTACAGTAGGCGCCGCTTTTCCGGTGACGGCGGCGGCGGCGGCGGCGGCGGCGTCAACATCAAAAGTTTTTGAATTTTTGATACAATTTTTAAATTATAGGTTCTTAGTCAATGATACTTTGACTATAGGGTAATCAAGTATCCCCAATCATGTGAGTAGAATTTCAGATCACATAGTCAAGGTCAAAGGTCAATCAGGTCAACAGACTTGGACTACATGTACATGTATGTTGTAGCATCATCATCGAAAGCTTAACCTAAGGTTAAGTTTTTGAATTTTTGATATAATTTTGAAAGTATAAGTTCTTAGTCAATGAAACTTGGACTATAGGGTTGTCAAGTCTCCCAAATCATGTGAGTAGAATTTCAGGTCACTAAGTTAAGGTCAAAGGTCATTTAAGGTCAACAAACTTTAATAGACTTTGTTGTGGCATCAACATCTAGATTTTCAAAATGCTTCTTCTTCGTTATTTTTCAACCGATTTTGATTCTGATTGTTTCATATGATAGGGCTAGCAGGGGGATGTAAAACTTTTACACCGAATTTTGAAATTGTTCTCAATTAATTAATTATGGTAATTTATGCAAATTTATTCCAAAAATAACAAAAATTGCTTCTTCTCCCTCATTTCTTGACCGATTTCGATTTGGTTTGCCTTATCTGGTAGAGCTAAATTTGGAACAATAAACTTCTACACAGAATTTTGAGATTTTGCTCCTTTGATTAATTACATGTATGGTACTTTTTGCAAATGAAATGAAATTATGTCCCTTCCAGGGCATCAAATTTTTATTTTTGACCAGTTCAAAAGTGTACCACATAAAATTTACGATATTTGTTGTTGCGAGATGCGAATGAGCGCTACGTCATTGACGTTCTGGTTTATCATATTGAATTGCGTTATGCAGGCGAGACCGCCGAGAGCGTTTCCCTTGTTTTGTTATTTGATATTTATTATTGTTCTGAAATGAAATACCGGTAGATACCGTAGATAATAATCTGAGGATATACATGTATGTACTGTATACCTGAGGATATATCAAAACTAAAAAGAATCAAAACAACAAAATAAAAAAAAATCAATTTCACCTCAAATGTTTTTAGCCTCTGAAGTACAAATGTACATCTAGTATATGTACAAATGAAATTTGAATTTCAAGAAAATTTGTTTCAGAATTAACAAGATTATTATATTGCTATAAGAATTTAAAGAATAACCCCTCTCCATTTTTTACATTGTATCTCGGATTATCAATACAAGGAAGTGGAAACATATTGGCATTGATTGCATAGACATTGTGGAGGCAGTATTTTCCTTTTTGCAAATCTGATCAAAAGGGTCTGAATCGCCAGACTACTGCATCTTTATTCCTTTGTTGTCTTGCTTACTGTCTCACAATACACTGAAGACTGGAGAAGATTAAATTTTGCTCCATTTTTAATCCGAGGGTTCCCCCTAAAGCCCCGAGGCTGAAAATGATTCACTGTCGAGAAGGGTAGCTGCTGAGAGCCAGTAGGATGTTGAATCCTATCATCTACGATACGGTTAATGTCCTTCTGGCGCTCAACAGCCCTTATGAGAATTAGATGATTTGGGGATGTTGGGATGGATGACAAATGTTAGTGTGGAGAAAATTGTCTGGTATTCTAAGCATTGTTCATCGGTGGCCCTCCTCCACAATGGCATGGACTGGCTAGTCTCCGTTTTGCAGACCTGTTTGCTGCTTCTTATTTCAATCGCAGTAAATTACACCGTATCTGGTATGATAATTAAGTACATTGATGTGCATGTTGCTGTACATGTAGATGTACCTTGATATTTTGCAACATTTATTAATAGAGTGATTAAAGTGTAGGCTTTGTCCTTCCGTAGTAAAATGAAGTGCAAATGAACAAATAAACAACAAACAATGACAAAAACAAGACACTCCTTTGCAGTTTGCACAATTTTGAACTGCTTTAAATTGATTTCAAAATTAAATCAATTTTCTTTTGAATGATAAAAATGTGTGCTATACATTTAGGGATACATCAGGGTACTCACATTTGTATTAAATTGTAATTACTAGACACTAAAATAATTAAAACGTCAGCCTCCAAAATACCTACCGGGATATATTTTTTCAGCGTCATTTCTTGATTTTCAGTGCCCACCATCGGGAGGCAATCACACTATCAAGCAATCAGTAAATTTGTGTGAAAGCAGTGTCCACTCGATCCAGGGAATTCATTTAACCCCTTGACTAGTGGAATCTCTAATTCCCATAGGCTTAATGCAGGGACAACCTAGCTCCAGTAGGTAAAGGTTTTAAATGGAAGGTCTTCATTCATTCTTGGTTGTCAGATTAATGCCCTGTTTGGCAATATCTGGCTGATAGAAGCTGTTCTGTTTACTATAGATATGTTGGTTAGGAATTCACACAACAATAATTACACAAATTCAATGCATTATGTAGATATTTAAATCTTGAAAGTATGATTTATTAATCACATTTCTTCATCTATTCTTCTTCACTCACTGTATTCAGAATGAGTATTACATATATCTGATATAAAGTTGAAATGCCAATATGATGAATATATTTCAGTCATATGCATTAACTATACTTGTTCACATGTAAATGATTCACTCAGTCTGAGTTATTTAAGTGATTTTACAAGTAATTCACTAATTTCCGTAAGAAAACCCAATACCCCTTTTTGGTATTGGTACTGCATATGTAAAACCGTACAAAACCTTGAGCTCAAGTACGTAAACTGTGCCTCTTAGAAATATCTAAAAACTCAAATACTACGAGTTTTATCACAGAATAATTGATATGAATTAAATGTCCGCGACCGTTCTCAACCCTATGGAACGTTCTTACATTGTCTTCCTGTGCTCCAGGTGTGTCTCATGTAGACAAACGCACGAACTTGAAGAACCCTGGCTGTTTGAGTATAGTCGCTGTTCCGAAGCTTGTCGTTTCTGACGTATTCGGCGTTGAAGTATGATGTAGCTCGTCTAGTAGACGAAAAGTCTCATCTCAGAGGTTAGAGAAGATCTGTTTTGGAAGATCTGTCCTTGAAGAGCTCTTGTGGAGTTGAACCGTAATGAAACTGGAATGGAATCCGAATGGACCCGGAATGGGACCTAAACTGGAACCTCAAAGTGGAACCCAGCTGCCTGACTGCTGTTAAAACAATATATATACAGCCTACAAGTCACAACATAATGTTTATAATCATCTTTATAATTGCCTACACATGAATGCTTTTTACATGTGTAAGAGAATTTTAAAGTATCCAAAATTCATGAAAATAACACTCATCAGATATATACTGTACATCAAAATAGCCCCTGGATTTCATCATCAATATAAATGCAAACCATTTGTTGGCTGTTAAAGCTATATTCAAAGTATATCTTTATTTAAAGGTCAACAACTTCCTAAAATGTCTTCTATTCCTTTTACCAATTTTCCTAACTAAAAATAACCCAAATTGGTAAATTAAATCACCTTCTTTCCAAATCTATGAAAGAAAACTAACTATCTAGCCTATAGCATATTTTCACAATTGTAAAGGCACATTATTCTTTCTTCATAACACATTGACTATCTTTAACTGACTTGACTTCTTTCTGTCGAAAGGAAATAACATTATACATGGCATAAATATAAGATACATTTTAAATGATTAATTCCAATGATTTCTTGGCAAAATTAGACAATTATCCCTAATGTAAATGACCTTCATTCATGTGCCACGCCCTAATTTATGATATTACATGATACAAGAAAATATGGGTTAACTTAGAGAATATTGCTAAAATATCACTTACTGGTGTCAGAGACATGATGTGGAGCTGTTGAGAAGTTTTCTCCTGGCCTGTGCTGCCCGAATTTAAGGGTAGATGCCAACCAAAGTAAGTAGCTACATGCTGCACATCTCAACTCCTCACACACCCACTCAGCATACAGGTCCTGTCTTGACCAATGCTTAAGTTGCTCTGCCCAGCCCAAACTATGCCTGAACAGCAGCACACATGCACACAGCACACAAGCACACATACATAGCTCTCCCATTGAGAAAAGGTACTGTAGCTAGGGATTCTATTGTGTTCTAGATGCCTATCTCCTAGTCTAAAAACCAGTCACTATCTTCTAGTCTTAAATTACCAGTCACTTTGTGACATTGGTCAGTTTAAAAAAAAAATCAATGACTCATCAGAAATATTGTGACCAAGACTTTTCACTTTCTGAGAAGTGCATCCCCCAATCTAGGACGTAGTCTTTCATATTCAGACTTTGGAGGGATAGTTACAGTCCATGGTTACAGGTACATGTACATGTACAGTTAGAATATGAGATGGCAAAGGGTGCAATTCTATTTATAAACCTGGAAAAACTTGGGACCCTTTATTTATGTTATGATCTTCTTGGTAATGGCTCTTTGCAAATAAAAACATAAAAAATTTGACTTTTTATTGCTTTCTGGTAAGATCTACAGTTATAAATAGAGAGAACATACACTGTACTGTACATGTACCGGTATTCAAAATTATTGTGAATTTATGGTAAAGTTTAGGCAAGCCAAATAATAGCAAATTCACTAAGATGATTTGCTGCTTCAGTGCTTGGAATCTGGGATAATACATTTACTGTATGTCGAGATATTTTGTGTGACAGATCAAAGCGTTTTGTTGATAATTTTGATTAGAGCTTGTTTGTATTTTATAATTTTCTATTATTGCCAGAAATCGAAATAACATACTGTACATGTAGTGCTTTTAAAAAGGCAGACAGACTGAATGGAATAGAACAGGGTCTGAAATTGTAGCCTAGCTGAAGGCTTTTGTGAATGAATAGAAGACAGTTGATAATCAATTATGAGTCAGTTATAATGAGATTGGTAATAGCATCTCGGGGGATACTGGTCAGAGGTAGGTCAAGTGAGTAGGGTTAAGATGTAGCACCTGTCTTCTCATTGACACCCCCTTTCATGATTAGTACCGGTATCACTCTTTTTGTATGTTCAGCTATTTCTTTTCTAAAGAGAGCCATTTACATTTATTGTCATCTCTCTCTCTCATGTTTTCCCTTATTATTAAACAAAAATAAAGGTTTGCTTATAATGTATTAAACACTAATAATACAAAAATCCCCATCAAACTTCTTTTAATCCAGACAAAATGATCAGCTCCACAGTAAACTGTACCTGTAAAGACCCAAGGAAGGACATGGACGATTACAAAGAAAGAATGTTAAAATGTTTATTCAACTGTCTTCCAAAGTTTGTAAATATTTACATATTTGTCAATCATGAAGGGTTGCTTGTCTGTCCAATTTTTGCAGCTGAAATACCTGTGCATTGGAGTATACCAGTAGGCCTACATTCTGAAATTGTTGTTACCTGTATATGGGCACATTGCCGCACATTTATGTACAAACATGTAGATTTGTAATGCTCTACTGTATAGCAGTGTCTGGAAGAAGAAGACAAAATCCTTTTGTGTATCTACAGTACATGTTCATGTAGCTCTTTTGGCATTTACTTTCAATAATGCAAACAAATATTTAGCTCTCCAATTTTTGTATCATCTTTCTTGTTGTTAAACTTTCCCTAGCTCATTCCCATACAACATGTACAGTGTAGATTATTCTCCAGAGTTAATTTTCTTACTGCTCCTGTGTATTGTTTTGCTGCTCGTTGCAAACAAATTGTATTTAAATGGAGCCATGTGTGTACAATACATGTACTGTAGACCCAGAATATCATCTTGTCTGTGTATTAAAAGTTGGTAATGAAATTGACCCCGGAGTCGGAGAAAGGAAACTAAAGATAGTCAAACTTGATACACTCCCACAGCCAGAGGCATTGGAGATTCAGTTACATAGGGGAATGGGAGACAATAGAATCATGCGTTTTATATTACAGAAGATGCGTTTATATCATCTGGTGGACTCAAATTCATGGGTTCTAATAGTATGGATTTCTTTTTTAGATCCGTTCTTTTTTGCTTTGTATTTTTCTTTGAATATGTTTTGTGTGACTACATGTATGTACATTGTCCTGATTCTTGGATGAGCATGGTGGAAACTTTCCTATACTATTCCTAATTTCCTATATAATTGAATAAATTCTTAATTATTATCTATACAAAACAGAGAAATGCATCATTATGCACAAGTTATGCACTATTGTATGATTCACTACAAAGACTACAAGTGTACATACTGTACTGTGTAACTACATGTACATGTATCTTGCATTGTGTTAGATGTTTGGATAATGGAAACAGGTCTATTTGTAACATGAGATGACATGATATGAAACACGACTTCAATGTCTAGTCATGTCATCATTTATCTCCACAGGGAGCATGCTCTCATCCAGGGAGTTTCTTTCTTTCTTTCTCAAACTTTTATCCCTCGCTGCTGTTCTCCTAACAAGTTGACAATACCGTCTTGAAATATGCATTGTCGTTTTTCTTTTGATACAATTATTAGAACTGTGCTTAGCATGACCAGTAGCTTTATTCGCTCTATAGATATAAAAAAAAACTTGCATCGTTTGCATTTATACAACCTGTACATGTACAGGTGTGTAGGTGAATCATCCATCGTGGTGTTGATTTAAAATCTTGTGGTCTATCTTTCTTTCCTTCTCCAAACTTTATTACTTGCTGCTGTTTGCATGACACATCTATTTTTTCCCTTCTTTTTTTGACACATGCCAAGCATTATGATGTTTTTGTTATTTTGTATGCTTTACAAAATTCTGCAATTCAGCCATGTGGCTGGGAATGAATTTTTCAGTAAACCATTACCTCACCTGCCCTGTCTTGTACTTTTACTCCAAATGAAATCTTCATCAAAATTGTCAGGGAGTTTCTTTCTTTCCCACCAACTTTCCCTCTGGCGACTTTTTGAGTGTCTTGTTGTACAATTAATGGATCCTAACTGATGATTTTTCCCTCTCTATTGTGAAGATTGTGAGTCATGTTTTTCTTAAAGTGAAATAGACTTTTGCTAATTTCACAAACTTCACAAGATGTCTTGTTCTATAATTAATGGCTTCTAATTGATGATTTTTTTTTTCTTCTCTGTTTTATGTTCTTACTCTCTTTTTTAGGATGTTGGACCGGCTCATAGTACTATGCCCAAACACAGACTTCTGTACATCCAAGCTACCACGGAGTGAATTAGAACCTCACTTACAAAATAGATGCCCTGGAAGAATAGGTAAGATCTTACAAAAAAACACTTTTATCATGATCATCTATTAATTTGTTTCAGCGACCATCATTATGGCCAGTAATGGAAAAAAATAATATTTATTTTTTGGGGCTACTTTTCTAGCTTGCCTGCATAAAAATAACTCTAAAATTTGTTTTGCACTGAACTCTGCAAATTTACGGGGGCTCTTTTCTGTTTTTCAGAGGCTCTTTTGGGCATTTTGGGGCAAATTCGCCCTGTGCCCCCATGTATTTTTTTCACTGATTTATGGGCTTTATTTCTTCTAGTTTCTTCATAGCTGCCAACCATTCCTATTTTGGAGAAACCATTTCTATTAGGGCCTTAGAGCTTTTGTTCTGAACCCTAGATTCATTTTTTTCTCCTGAAATATTGCTTGAAAAAATATACAAACTAGGATTAGAGAGTGCTTGATCCTTCATAGTGTAAGATGAGAATTCTGTTGTTGTAGGATGTTGGCTGCTGACCGATCTTCATTAGAGCATATTTTGTAATTTATAACTACAGGGTACATAAAGTTCTTCCGAAACGACTGATCTGACATTTGCGCCAGCAACATTTCGTCAGGGTTAGCGACATTAAGAAACGGCAGTTTGTCACAGTAATGTGGCACTGCAGACATTCAGAAATGGTTTGCTGAGCGCCAAAAGGGCGCTTACTTTGTGTAGAATGATATGAGTTAATGCCCATCTGGCCCTCAACAGATGTAATGGCAGTCAGTCACAGTAATAGCATTCTAAATGTTAATGGACCATCTTTGAAGGGTTACATGTACTGTGAATTAGATGTCTGGAAGAGTGCTAGAGTAAAATGAGCAATAAGAACAACACATTTCAATAGCACATGCATACTGTACATGTACAATCAACTCATCTCCCTGCCCCCCCCCCCCCCCCTCCCACACTTCCCATATAAAATGAGAAATCATTGAAGTATTGTATTCTGAGTTCTGTTTAAAAATACACCAGTTTACAGTTGTGTGCGCCATTTTAAACAAAGCTAATGACCTAGGAGTCATGTATTTATGCGTAAATTAGATTGCGCCCATGCAAATAATGATGACATCACTGCCTGCGCGCTGCGTTGTGCGCGCACATCATCATTTGCATGGGCGCAATTTTAATTTACGCATAAATACCAGAGGTCAGAGGTTATTGGCCCCAATTTTGGGGCCAATGACCCGAGGTCAACTGTCTGCGCATGCGCACTGATACAACTGTAAACTGGTGAGGGAGAGAAAACACAACAAATTGTTTACCTGGAAGCCAGGCTAGATCCATCGTTCTTTCTTCCACACATCTTGAATTCTTGTAAGATGGAAAAAGAACAAAAGAATAAAAAGAATTTGAAAAAATGATGATGAATTTGGAGGCAGATGGTATGATATCACCCATGTATAATACTCACAGGGCATCTAATTTCCCCGGGGTGATGTGGAGAAAATTTGGGCGTAACGCCCCTCCAAGTTCATTGCCCTTGCAATGTATGGAGCTAGTGGGGGGGGGGGGGGGTAAACACATCCATTGTTGGTATGAAGAGAGGGTAGAGAATGAGAATGGAGAGAGAGAAAGAGAGAGAAAGAGAGAGAGGGGGGGGGGTACACTAAACAAAAGAGGGAAGGACTGGGGGAGGAAAGAAAGAAAGAAGTAAAGAGAGAGACAGACAGACACTAAGAGAGAGAGAGAGAGAGAGAGAGAGAGAGAGAGAACTACATGTACAAGAGGATAGGACCGGGAGAGGAGAGTAAATTAATGAGAAGGGAGAAAGAAAGAGGGAAAGCGAGAGAGAAAGACTGAGAGAGGGCAGGGTGACAAGAGAAAGAGATGGAGAGGAGAGGTACAATGTATAAGATGGGAAGTGAGAAAGAGGGAAATAGAAAGAGAGAAATGTGGGGGGGGGGGGGCAGGAATGAGGGACAGTACGAAAGAGATGGAGAGAAGTGGGCATTTGTCATTGGATAGGGGGAACAAAGAGGATGGCTAGATCATATGGAGAGTGAGCAAGAGAGGGGCTTGGATACATATGGAATTTGGTTAGATCGAGGTGTAGAAGAGATAATAATTGAGAGAATTAAACAAAACCAAGACAAAGCTGGTTTATAAACTTGAAAAGACACAATAGAAGGAATACGGGTATAGACATAAATGTGTGAAGCACAGAACACAGAAGCACTGAATGACAGACAGAAAAAAAAGAAATTACATATGGGCATTTTGATGGGTAAACACAAGCTTCATATGAACAATTCCCGAGCGTCCCCTGCCCTATCATACCATACCAGCCGATAACAGATAGGGGTATAAGCATTCCCCCTGCGGACTTCAAGACGTGACGAAAGAATATCATGGATGTCAGACGGATGAATTACTAAATCAATTTTTCCCTGAAATATGTAACCAGATGGTATCGTATCCATGCCGTTTGGGAATTTTTCTGAGGGAAAAGTTTAAGAATCGGAGGAGACTGTTTGGCTACCGGAGTGAGAGGATGATGTAATTTATTCCGATGTCTAGAAGAGGGATGGAGATTTCTCTTTGTGGTGTAGGACACATGGGTGGGTGTTTGATTTCCTGAGATGAAAATATTGTTTTATTTTGGAACTGATTGAGAGAAAGAGGAGATTGAAACCCTTTGTTGAGAGCAATGATCATGATATGATGCAATCATTAATAAATAGTGATAGTAACAACGATAACATGTTTTGATAACGATTGCTACAGTTATGATTTGATTATTACAAGAGCAGAAAAAGAAAGTTATCCTATTTTGGGGGTGGTAATTTTAAATAGAGGAAAATGAAGAAGAATAATGTTCTAAATTGTTATGCCTCCGTTACGAAGTAGCCGAAGGCATTATGTTTTTAGGTTGTCGTCCGTCCGTCTGTACGTTCGTCCCGTTCTCATGATTTCATTATCTCAAGAACCCATGGATGGATTCTTACCAAACTTAGGGCGCGTTTATCGGGGCTTGCCACTAGATATGTACATATCGTACCCCACTATTGAACCCCACTATCATACCCCACTATACGATCGTGATTTGCTGGATGTCGCGTTTATCATCCCTTCACGATTCAAAATAAAGGCCTTGTGTCTGCCCAACTGTTTTGACCTGGCAAGCAGATAGTTTCTTGGAGGTCAACTTCACACACATGCTTGTACACAACACCTGGGTGGTCCTATTTATATGTGAGGTTCAAAACAGCTTTGTGTTTATCGATCTCTCAGAAACGTGATTCTGGCTGTATGTCACATACAAAACACACCTTTTTGCGTCTTTAGATATGCCCATATCTAAAGCCCTTTAAAAAAGGCTTTGCGTTTATCGCCTTCTAAATTTGCCTGAAAGACGTTTGAGAAACCTGGTTCTAGCCAAAAATCTGGTCGATAAACGCAACCCACGACATGTACATATACAGTATGTATCTTGCAGAGCTAATAAACTGATAAGATTTTGGGGTCATGAGGTCAAAGGTCACAGTGCTCATTATGTATGCAAAAATAGCTCGTGATCGCGTTATCTCAAGATTAGATTTGTGGGTCAAGAGGTTTTAGAAAAGCTACTGTGCATGACTAAGGCCCTACGTACAGTACATGTACATGTACAGTACACTGTACATGAAGTATTTGGCTTGCAAAGCCGTTATCGTTCATGTAGTCCCTCCTAAAGAGAAATTTGTTGTGACGGATCAAAAGTGTAGTCAATTTGGATATATTATAACTGGCCAAGTGGGGATGTGGAATTAGTAGTGGGTGTCACTGAGATTAGGGGGTAATAGAGAAGCTTTAAGATGAATTAGGCTGCAAACAAGATTAGTGTGATAAGGTGGTGGTGGTGATGATGATGATAGAGGAATTGAATGGTCAGTAATGGGATGAAAGGTAGATGGATGGAGTGCAAGAAAGATGCAGAGGCAGATAGATAGCGGAAATATAAAGGAACATACCTGTAGGCAACAGCAAGAATGAGAGAGAGATATACATTAAGAGAAAGAAAAAGGGAGGGAGAGAGAGAGATATTAAGAGAAAGAAAAAGGGAGAGAGAGAGAGAGAGAGAGAGCGAATGAGAGAGATACTGTACATATTAAAAGAGAGAGAAAGAGAGAGAGAGATATTAAGAGAAAGAAAGAGGGAGAGAGAGAGAGAGATATTAAGAGAAAGAAAGAGGGAGAGAGAGAGAGAGAGAGAGAGAGCGAATGAGAGAGATACTGTACATATTAAAAGAGAGAGAAAGAGAGGGGGAGAGAGGGGGAGAGAGAGGGAGAGAGAGGGAGAGAGAGAGAGAGGGAGAGAGAGAGAGAGAGAGAGAGGAGAGAGAGGGAGAGAGAGAGAGAGGGAGAGAGAGAGGGAGAGAGAGAGGGAGGGAGAGAGAGAGAGAGAGAGAGAGTGAATGAGAGAGATACTGTACATGTATATTATAAGAGAGAGAGAAAGAGAGGGAGAGAGAGAGAGAGAGAGGGAGGGTTATTGGAGCGATAGATGTTGAAAGAGGGTAAAATGATGTATTCATATTTTGTTATTGCCCTAGATACCAAGTTAGCCAAAAGTTACAATTAGATTTATATTTTTGCAGTCCAGGGGGTGTTTCACAAAGATCCTAAGTAGAACTTAACTCTAAGTTGGACTTAAAAATTATGGACAGCCATTGGAGTCTTTAAATGAAATATATTAAAAAGCAGAAATTCAAGTATTTTAGACTTTTTATTACTTCCACATCCAGAACATGAAATCTCCTTGATGATAGAAAATATGAATGATTTGAATAAACAATTAATGCCTTTCAAAATAACTTTTACAAAATATTTTCAAAGATGCTAATGGCTTTCCATATTTTTTAAGTCCAACTTAGAGATAAGTTCAACTTAGAATCTTTGTGAAACACCCCCCAGACCTGATTTTTAGAACATTACTACCGGTAATCAGAGTCTTGTTATGTCTATACATGTACACATACATGTAAGGCCATTTAAAAAATATACATGTTTAGCG